TGGGTCTAGGTTGGGCTAAGTCCAAATTGAAGGTTAGAAATGGTCCATAGGAATGTAATGAAGAGTTTCCAACATAAATTGGGTGTCAATTTTGGGGTTAGGGTATTCAATTTGGTGGAATATGGGGATATAGCCAATTTGGGACAAATTTGGGGATTTTTTTGGACTTGGTGATTTTTTTGGACTTGGATCAAAATTGAGTACAATTGAGGCTTTACCAAGACCAATTGAGGGCACGATTGTTATGAAGAGTTTAGGATTCAAATTTGGGCAAATCAAGTAGACTATGGGATTTAATTAGGTAAGATTAGGTCATATGATCAAAATTGGGGTTTGACCTAGATCAAATTTGAGCTCAAAGCATGGGCCAATTAAGCTTGAATTTGGTTTAGATTAGTCATGTGAAAAATGTATTTGAATTTAGGATTGAAATTGAGGGGAATTGAGGCCAAATTGATGGACATTTGAGGTGAATTTAGGGAGGTATTTTTTATTTTTGAATTTAGGGAAATTGGGTCTTTAAAGGCAATTTTTGGGGTTTTGGTCAAAATGGTCAAATTGGCCAAATTGGGCTCAATTGAAGGGTCCAAATTAATTTTGGAGACATTTGAAGTGATTTTAGAGGTTCTGTGAAAGGGTTTATAATTTTGGCAAATTTGGGGTATTTTGGTAATTTTGGGCAATTTGGGTATTTTCAAATGGTTTGAAATGATTTTTAAACCAATTTGCGTATTTTGGGTGAATTTGAGGATTTTGACCAAATTTAGGGTTTCAAGGGCATTTAGGTAATTTGGGTGGATTTATGGGCAATAGGCCAAGTTGGACATCTTGGCAGAATTGGGGTGGCAACCACCTTATATAAGCCATGGACCAATGAAATCCCTATTTGGGTCCTCTATTTACTGGTCTTAGCTAAACCCTAGCCTAGGGCTAGTGAGTTTAGGGGACTATCTACATGAGTCTCCCAAAAGATCAAGGGATCAAAATCAACAATTTGGGTTCAGGGTTTGTGAGTGATTGTGGGTGAAAATGAATGTAAATGAGTGAACTAACTCCAAACCAACACCTAGGGTCAACCCTAAGGTCAAGCAGTTCTATGGGAACTCTTCTTGAGATCCTCTATACTGACCCCACCTACTAAATGCTAGAGGTTATGACCAATATGTGGAACTTCAAGTCGAGCAAGGAGGAGTTTACAAATTTCTAATGGTGAGGGTTCATTTCTAGTTTTCTAAGAATAATCAACAGGAAAGTCCTATGGCTAGACATTAGACAACTAAAGAGGAAAAACTAAACCTCAACCAAAAGTGAGGTTAATAGGTGCCTTCATGTCGATCTCATATATGCCAAAATTTATAGCAACATAAATGCCATATATCTGATTATAGACCTCAAAACAAAAATTTAAAAAAAAATGCAAAAAAAAAACTTATATTACACTCATGGTTGCCTAAAAGGCCATTCAAGTGAGATAAAATACATGTGGAAGAATAAAAAAAAACACTAGAACAGATAGAAATTTCACATGAATATCATTTCATAATGAGTCATTACAATAGAAGTTAAGCATTTTCACAATATATTATATATAAATAATGAAAAGTAATAGAAAATATCATGTCATCATTTATTAATGCATTTGTAATATGCTCTCAAAATTTAATAATATTTGTAGCATATTCCCTGTCCTGTTTGCAAGACTTTGTTAAATCATAATCAGCTTGTGTTATTGACATAAAGAATTCTCTCATAGTTGGATCTTCCAAAAACTTCATTGAATATAAGTACAAAGACATATATTCATAAATGGCTGCAGTTCTTTCCAATATTTTCATAGCTAGTTAAATATAAATTGTAGGCTCTCCAGTACACGCAACAACTAATTGCATCATCTCACTTCGTAAGAACACTGCACCATATTTTTTTTCTCATTCTTTGAGCACTTTGATTGATTAGGTGCAACATAATTTATGAGAGGATTGGACTCTTCAATTGAGTCCTTTCTTTGCTCATAATTTACGTGCTCAGCTATGCCAATGTGCGCTTTTTTCACTTGACGTCCACGCATGATCACTGGTGGCTACAATTCCACTAAATAGTAATCTAACTTCTCTTCAAGCTAGGGTTCAATGCCATTAAATTTAAACTTATTGGCATTTAGCACAACCTACAATGAATTGACAGTTGAAACGTTGATAAAATTGAAATGACTTTAAAATTTTTTGAAATATTTTGAATGTTGGATAATATTTTACCTTCAATCTCTCTATCCATAATTCTTCCGAGGGATCAATTGTTTATATGATAGGATCCATACCTAAGTCAATTGCCCATTGGTTTAACTCTTTACATAATTTCCACTCTTTTTTTAACCGATCTCATTTATTCTTTAGTTGCAATTTATCATACTCTCTTCAAGTGTGTTCTTTAAATTTTATAATCATGTTTTTCATCATTCTTTGTTAAAATAGGTTGTTGTCTGATTTCTCAATTCCACCCCCTTAACATAGAGATCGTAAAAGATTATCTTCACATCTTTTTCCCACATAACAGTCAAATCCACTTTCTTTTATCTTAATCATCATTAACACTAGTTATGAAAAAAAGCAATCAATTGGGCAAACCAAATATGCTTAGATCACTTTAAAATGTCCAGATTAAAAATTGTATACATAAACCTATGACCAAACATGTTGCAAAAAAATGGAATAAGAAAATCTAAAAATCCATTACAAAAGTTCACCTATCACATTTGCTGCTGCAATAATTTTCCTGCAATGCTCCATATGTACTCCCTCAGTGAGATTCATAGCTAGAAGAATAATATATATTAAGATATCACAGTTGTAATAATAATAGTAAGTGCATTTGCTGGCATAAGTTCACCCATCACATTTCTTAGCATCAATAATAACAATTCTGTAAAAAATAGATGAAAACATGAAAATATAATAAGAGTAATTTTTAAGGCAAAAAAAAAAGAACAATTAAAATGTTCTAAATGGTTATTATGCAAAAATGTCAGGGGCACTTCAGGGAGAATACAACTAGACAATATTAATCCGACATTGTAATTTTCATAGAAGAAACATAAGTAATTGACCATTCTTTCTGATGCCATGGATGTGAAAATATCCCTCTTTACTGAATCTTCAATTAGCTTCAGTGAATACAAATAAAAGAGCATATCTTCAAAAACTTCTGAGATCTATTCAAGTATTTTGATTAAATTAGGAATATATGAAGATTGTTGTGAATTGGTGGCGTCTAAATTCGTACTTGTTGTAACTAGCTCATATATTTAACTTCTTAA